TATATATATATATATATATATATTTTAGTCACGTAGATTTTAGTGCTATCTTTGGACAATGCTGAATAGATTCTGATACTTCAGCAATAGAAACAAAAGTTATAAATGATCATTATACCACTGTTGATGAAACGCTGAAATAGTAAGAAATTAGGTTCTTAGTTGTTACCACTTGTGGGATTACGAAAGATTTACCGAGATGCTAACCAAAAGCTTCTTGTGGCGAAGCGGATTTAGTAAGCAGTAGTCGACACTCCTTATTTCACCTGTTTTTGAATTAAAAAAAAAATTTTGGAAAATCAATCATTTTGGAAGGTTTTTTAACTATTTTTTAATTTTTTTCAATGAAAAAAGAAGAGATAAAATTAAGTAGGTGTATTTTTTTAAGCTATTTAGAGTGCTTTTTTAAGCAATCAAAAGAGAAGAGTGATGCTTCAAATATATTATCTTAGATGAATATTACAGTCGTCCTGCTGTGTTGGTATTAAAAGTTGTATGTGTTTTGCTATCCTCGCGGATGTTTTTTTGGAAGGCTTTGGAGACAGTTGTTGTATTAATGAAGTAATATAGATTCATTTCTTTTTAATCTTTTGATAAGTAGTATTGTTGATGGAAAAGAAAGAAGGTAATAAACTGCTGACGAGTGATGACGATGGTATTGATACTGTTGATGACAGCAATATATATCGGAGTTCAGACAGGATCAGTAATGTGAAAATAAAGTTTTCTACATATAGCCGCAAACAATAAGTTTTCTTTGTGAGTTGAAGAACAATCTAAGTTGCTGTAGTTGATATGTTACTGAGCTTACGTTGAGTAAAATCAGATTAGCTGCTGTAAAAAAAACAAAAGTATATTTTTCGAAGATTGTTCTAATGTACAGCTGAGTCACAATAAAACAGTTTAAATTTATGCGGACATTTAATTCTTACAATGATTTATTGAAAGTGCCATCTAAAGCTTATTATACTGTTACTAATATTTTAAAATTTGATAAATGTATAACCTATAAAATACACGAATGTTGACCACTTTGATAGCGTTGTAGCTCAAGAATTACTATCTTTATTTCTCTTTCCCTAACAATTTAAATGAGATTTCGGTGAAAAAGAAAAAAAATGAAGAATTAGAAGCAAAATTGGTGTATATAATTCTATCAGTATTCACTACAGCTAATAAAACAAAGCACAATAGATTAGGTTGTTTTTTTTTCTTTTAATTTTTGCTTTTCAGACCTTTGGGTACAATGAAACTAAAAATTTGATAGCATGAACACGTCTCAAGTGCACATAACTTACAGTTATTCTGAGTGTTTTTTGACTTATGATCTTTGAATAGGTTATTCGTATTTTCTTCTCACTGCTCTAATAAAAAAAAAGCAAAAAAGCTATTTTTTCTAAGCTACAAACATGACGATAATGAGGGGTTTAGTAAAGAAAAAATTTTGTTAGGGAGTCAGAAACCAATTGATCGTATTGCTGGGCGTATTGGATGAATTTTGCATTCATTCTATAGCAGAAAATGCAAAATTCTGCCAGTTTATACGTTTCAAGGTTTAGTTCTTGTAAAATTAATAACATCGTAGTATAAATGTTGATTAAGTGATTCCTGCAACGGATATTATATGACAGCTTTATATACATGTGCTATAAGTGAAATCTTTGGAAAACATACTAGTATAAGGTACTAATGAACGATAAATTGTATCTTTGTAGTGTCACTATTCTTTGAGCTGCTGAGAAGCATTTACACACAGTTCACAATGTGCAATTTCTTGGCAGTCAAGCAGATGATAAGGCAAATTTTCACTATTTTACAAGTTTGACGTGTTGTAAATACGGCATCAGGAGCACCAGTAGGAGAGTCTGCAAGAGCAACAACAACAATTTTGGCCAAGATTCTGCTCAGTTGCAATTTACGTTTACAAACATTTGAAAATGTTCACAAAATTCTGAAGTAAACTCATCAAATGTGGTTGGCCTTATCATTGGTAAAACATAAAGAACATAAACAAATATTGTTTACAAAACATTTACTTTCATTTTCAAACCTATATTTGTTATATTTTATATTTGACAATGTTTTTCAAGGAAGAAAGTTGTTATTTAGTTTTCCTGCGGCTATTAACAGTTTTATCAGTAAACATTTTATAAGTGATAAATTTTGTGCAAAATGACAGCAGCAACCTGAATGATTTCGATTATAATTTGAGGTGCAAAAAACTGCAGTTCAATGTTCAAATTGTATGAACTTAATTTTTTTTTTTATTTGAATAAATATTTCAAAAAGAAAAAAAAAAAAGAAACACTGCTGTTTGCTGTTTTACCATTTTAAATGTTGTGTTTAGGCGATTAAAATTGGTTAATTGTTTAAGCGGTTTTACCAGGTTATAAATTAAGCTCTTTTTTTTAATACACTAATTTTTTTTCGTATTTATAATCTAATTTCTGAACTGTGTAAATAAGCCTTATTGAGACAGAAATAAGAGTAGTTTTATAAAGTTTTTTTTTGCAATATAGACAGATCCGGAAAACTTATAGTACTGTAAGTATGCTATTTGAATTTTCATTATCCTTAGCATTATTTAACTGCAACTGTAGTTCAGTATAGTAATTGTTGTGCATAAGTAGTTGAAAAAACCCTTATTCAATTTACAGTCAAAAATCTGCTGGTTTAACAGTCTTTTAAGCTTCGGTTGATAACATTATGCTGAAGATGTGCTTGGTGTAAACTTTTTTTGTTAGTAACGGTATTGGATACGTTTGAAGTGTTGTGTACACTGCACTATACGAACCAAGAATAGCATTTATCAGTAGAGCTAAGAATAGGAATCACTTTGGGTTTTTTTTATTTCAATGATAAACAGTTCTATTATACAAATAATAATAATGATCAAATTTACTACTGTGTATAACAAATGTATTTAGGTTCTTTAACGTCCGCCTTCTTGTCACAGTTGTTTATTTATTTTTTTTTATTTAGTAGTTATTTGGTTACATACACTCGTACACAGCATATAAGAATTGTAAATTAATGTTGTCAAATATGTAGTGAAGAGTTTGTGATCAGTTGATCATCAAGCAAATTCTTCAATGATTTTATTTGTTTGATTGTATTCAATCGTCGTTTTTCAAGCATTAAAAACTTTTGCTGCTTTTTTGTTACTTCTAGAAGACACTGAGAAATAGTGACATCTTTAAATACTGATCTTTCTTTTTCCCCAACTACTTTTTTTTTTTTACTTGACAGTTTGGAAATGGTTAAGCTTTTTTGTCATTTCTTTAGTCACATAAATTGCTAGATTAATTTGACAAAAAAAATCTGCTTTTTGTTCAAATAAGGAAATAAAAAAAACATGTACTTTTTCAGTCTGTTAAAGTAATTAACGGTTCTGACTATAAAATTTCAGGATGACCTTCACAAGACTTTTGTCAGTTGCTCTGAAGTCCTGCAAAGGACAAAGCAGATTTTTGTCAACATGTAAGCCGTTGTCTGTTACAAAAAAGACCTTGACAATTGATAACATGAATCCAAATGTCAAGGAGATGGAATTTGCTGTTCGAGGACCAATTGTTATTCGTGGTGGACAACTGGAAAAAGATCTGGAAAAGGTTCTTTTCTTTAACAGTGTTTCAGCTGTTAACTTAGCCGCCGCTTCGTTCCTCCGTTTTTGGTGTTTTCACTGATCAAATCGGTCAGATTTTTTGTCGTAAGTCAGATTTTTTGTCGTAATGTGTTCACAGATTGCTGAAAATCTTCGTCTGATAGCATTCGATAAAATATAGTCATAAGAATCACTGTAGATTGTAACTTGTATTGAACAAAGTTAAAAGTTTTTTGTTGCTAAATTTTTTTTATTTGCTCTTTTGCTTTTATATTTACTTTTACATTTTTCAAAGGTTTGAAGCATCAAAAAGAAAAGAAAATCAACGATATAAAAATATTCAAAACTACTACTCTAAAGAATTTAAAATCTCATCTAACTCATATACTTTTACATATAAACCCAAATAATCATTTTTATTAGACAAATTAAAAAAAAATTGCATAAAAAAAGCACCAGCAATTAATTAATTAAAAAATAGATTTTTTTCTATAACAATGATTTTCTGTCTGATATACTGTTTATTGCTAAAAAAAAAAAACAAAAAACAGTAAGAAAATTCTTCCAAAAAAAAAAATTGTAGTTGAATGTAAATATTAATTAGCAAATTAAAAAAGCAAGAATCAAAAAAATTATTTAAATAGAAAAGAATAATAAGCACAATTTTTTCTTGATAAAACAAAATTGTACTGTAAAAGAAAAGCATATATTGCAATAAAAAAAATCGTTTTTTTTGCGCTGTTCAGTATAAAATATAATCGATAAGCTATAATTTAATCACAATTACTTTTTCTGGTCTTATTTTTTCTTATACCTGGTAATTAGACAAACACAAACTTTTGTTAAGTTAAGATTGTAAACAGAAATATTTATATTTATTAGAAGCTTCGTATAGTTGTTATAGTCTCAATTTCAAAAAAACAAAAAAGTGAAATTAACCAAAAATTATAAGTAAGAAATTGTAATCAGAAGAAACAAACTTTAAGCAAAGCAATTAAAAAAAAAGCAAAATTAAAAACTTCGTAGACACTTGGTGTTTTTTTTTTTTTGTGATGAAAACAACAGAATATTTGTTCAAACATTAATTATAGGGTGCCCAAAAACCATTTAACAGCATCGTTAAAGCAAACATCGGCGATGCTCATGACATGGAACAGAAGCCGATTACCTTTATCCGCCAAGTAAGTATTACCCAGCGCGAGATTAAACTGAAGTTACAACAAGATTACTGTTTGTGTCGCAAGCTAATGATTAATCAAAAAAGAAAAAAAAATTAAGCTTTACAAATTTTTAACCAAAAAAGATTTTGCAGTAAATCAAGGTTTCTTAGCCATCAGTCTTAGGTACTGGCTTGCGTTGCTTATCCTGAGCTTTTACAATCAATGGCAATTCCTGAAGATGTCAAAGAGCACGCCAAAACAGTTCTTCATGACTGTGGTGGACACAGTGCTGGTGCCTACACGTAAGATCGCTACTGGTTAATTCACCGGTGTTTGATCAGATAGTTTGGCTGATTATTAGACTTTATACGGCAATTATTATGTCATAGACTTTTAGTCCAAGTGCTGGGATTGAATGTATTAGAAAACACTGTGCTGAATACATTAGCAGACGAGATGGCCTACCGTGCAATTATGAGAATATTGTGTTAACAGCAGGTGCCACTGAAGGCATTAGAGTTCGTATTTTATAATCATAAAAGCAATTTGACTGTCGTTTAGTTCGGTAAAAAGTACAACTTTTCTGGGTAAAATAAGTTACACTTAGTTTACCTGTAAGCATAAATACAAAAAAAGAATTGGTAGTGTAGAAACAAGTCTGGTCTAAAGAATCTAGGTTTTTGCTTTGAATGTTGCAGAATATTCTAAAATTATTTGTTAACCAAAAATCGCCAAAGAAAGTTGGTATTATGATTCCAATCCCGCAATACCCGCTGTATTCGGCAACCCTTGACGAATTTGGTCTTGGGCAGGTAATTATCAGATAATTTCATTTCTTTTTTTTTTTTTGTGACGTCTTCCAAAAACAATTTGACTGCTGTATAAATGCAACAACCAAAATTCATGTTTTGAGGGGTTAATCTACCGCAATTGTTTTGAAGGTCAGATACTATTTGGACGAAAAGAACAACTGGGGTTTAAACATTGAGGAATGTGAAAAAGCTTTAGAGGCAGCAAAAGATGAATACATTGTAAAGGCGATTTGTGTCATCAACCCTGGGAATCCAGCCGGTAATTTTTAGGAATACGGTTTGCTGAAACAAGTCAATTAAAAAAGCGTCTTGTGTTTTCCATGTTTCGGGTGTATTATAAATAAAGCATCAATGCAACGCATTTTTATTCTGTTTAGGTCAGGTTTTGACAAGAAATAATATTGAAGAAGTTATTCGATTTGCACACAAAAACAACTTGTTTATCTTGGCTGATGAAGTAAGCAACGTCTTCAACTTTATTTTGTGTGGCTTTTGGAATCAATATTTACCACCAAAGGCTATAAGTTATTTGTTTATAAATTATTTTGCCTTTTTTTGATAAAAAAAAAGGGTTTGTTTTGCCATTTAGCTACACCAGTAAGTTTTCCGACTATGAAAGCGTAAGAATTTTATTTGCAGGTCTATCAAGATAATATTCATGACAAAAACTCACGCTTTTTCAGCTTCAAAAAAGTCATAACAGATATGGGTGGTGAATACAAAGAGTATGTTTATAACACTTTTTTCTATTAACTTTAGTTTTGACGATAATTTAAAAAGTAAATTTTCTAAACAAAAAATATTTCTGGCTTTGTATTTGTCAATTTATAAGTTTTCGCTAAATAAACCTCGGCATTTGTGTAAGTCTAAACTGTGCAACTTTATAATTTACATACTGCTCAAAGACATAATAACGATAAAAACAGTGTTAGTAGATTAGAGACATATTTGTTAAACAAATTTTTAAGAGTGTTGCGACTAAACTGTATCCATAAAACGGTTTTTTAATGAAAACATTTGCAGCCAGGAGCTTGCATCCTTTTACTCAGTCTCGAAAGGCTATATGGGCGAATGTGGTTTACGTTGTGGATACACTGAAGTGCTAAATATGGACCCAGAAGTCTTCAAAATGATGGTCAAAATGATGTCCTCAAAATTATGTGCTTCTTCATTAGGCCAGGTATGACATCACTGTTAGTTGTTTTAAAGATCTTTTATTGTTGATTGAAGGACAATTTTGTCGAAATTCTAAAGCAAGAATTTGTTGTTTTCCTATGCAAATAACAGCTAAAAAGTTAACTTTAGTTACAGATAACGGTGGCAAAACCGCTACAAATTAATCTATATAGGTTATCTTCAAAAAGTAAACTTCAGTTTGTCTTGCGTCATTTATTTAACAATCTAAAAAGCAGATGTACAAAAATTGCCGTTTTTGAAAAGCTGCATTACTGAATCTAGTTTAGGCAGCACTTGACAGCGCTGTAAACCCACCAAAACCTGGCGAACCATCTTATGCACTATGGCTAAAGGTGTCTAATTTACTTTGTATATGTTTGTCATTTTTTAAGATAAAAGAAACTAAACTGTAAACGAGAAAATTGTTCAGGAAAAAACAGGCATTTTGGAATCAATGAGGGAAAGAGCACGTTTGGTTCAAGAAGCATATGGTTCTTTGGAAGGCATAGAATGCAGCGCTATTCAAGGAGCTCTTTATGCGTTTCCGAAACTTCATCTGCCGCCTAAAGCAATAGCAGCTGCAGCAGAGAAGAACGTAGAAGCTGACTTCTTCTACTGCATGGAAATGTTAGAAGCTACCGGAATTTGCACTGTACCCGGCAGTGGATTTGGCCAGGAAGCTGGAACGTATCACTTTAGGTAAGTGCTTTTGACCGTCTTCTTCACACTTCTACACCATGTCAACATCATATATACTGCAGCATGAAGATTCACTTTCTGCCACTTCTAACTTTTATTACTTTGAAATGTTAAAAAACCAAAAGTTTTTTACGTTTGAATAGAATAAAGTTTTTTGGCTTTCAAAATGAAATTTTAAAAAAGTTATGAACACAAACCGAAACTGCTGTAACCTCAACTGCAAATAACTTACACCTATAGTGGATTACAAAGAAAGCTTATTTGTTCTTTCAGGACAACAATTCTTCCGCAGACACATCTAATGAAAGAAATGTTAGAAAGATTTAAGCCCTTCCACGAGAAGTTTATGAGAAAATACAGCTAAATGTCTGACGCGACGTTAATTTTGATTATATAAAACTTCACTAACTAACAGTTGCAGCATTGCATTCACATGTATCTACAGTTTTTTTCACGTGTTATTAAGCAGAACCTCAGTAAAAATAATAAAAAAGAATATGTCTATTAAAAGAAGAAGCTTTTTCTTTGTCGCCATTTAAAAACACAAAACATACAGCATAATAACAAGTAATTTGGCAAAGCCAAATGTGTAGGTCGAACATTGCCCTTCACCGGGATCGTCATTAAAAACGGCAATGAACAAGGTTCAAAGATTATCATACAAAAGGTAATAACTACTGAGTTCACTATAGACGGCTGTTTTTACCATCGCAGTTAAGATTATTATACGAACTCAGAAGGTTTAAATCCTGGCAAGTCACGGGTATTTTTAGCTGCATACAATTTGCCATTCTCTTGTGGTATTTCAGTGAATAATGCATTCAAACATGGTGTTGCTTACTTTCAAGCTCTGCATTACTAGAGCAGTTACTTCCGACCACATAATAAGTGCTAGAACTAGCTTCAGTTTTAAAAAAATTGCTGCATAATAAAATAAGCTATACTAGCCGCACTGTTTTTTCTGATAATAGAACAAAAAAGAGGTTGAAAAAAGCATTTGGTGAACAAGACCAAAATAGCATTTGTTGAGTTAAGATTGTTTTATAGGCTAGGCAATAGTCTGATTTATATTATGCTCGATGTAGTAGGTTTTATCTAAACGGACAAAGGCAGATATTTATAGACGCCTATAGAGGATAAGCTAAAGCAATATTGAACAATTTGCTAGCTGCTTGGTTAGCGTTCTATTCATCGCCCACACCTTTCTTGCTGTTTTTGCTGGGTAACTGTGATTTTTCCGACTAAGAAATGATTTTCTTGTATTAAAAATTGTTGAAAATCAACAAAATGATTCTGCTATCTTGAACTCCTATAAACTTTTATTCGTCACTTCTGATTACACAAATTGCAGTTGTTTATTTGGTTGAATTTATATTTGGTTTTCTCCTTACATAATTCATTTTTTATTTATTTGCGTTATTTATTTATTTTTTTCTCTTTATTTTGCTTTCATTTTTTACATGTACAACAAAAAATGATAGCAGAAACTGATGAAAATAAATAAGCCTTACCTAGGTATTAGTATGAACATATAGTTTTCTGTTACAACAGACTAAACAGGTGTTAATTGAGAAGGTCACTGACCATGACTATGGTCACTGTTTTTCCTTCAGTACTTTGTTCAACTTGATTCTTTGTTTTTTTTCGCTCACTTTAGCACCGCTTAACAGATAAAATGCTGTAGTAACAATTGTTCTTTGAGAAAAAAAAAAAACCAAAAAAGAAATTTAAAAGCTTCTGTTGAAAACTATGTTTAGTAAGAATGAATAAACAAATTTGAAGAAAAATTGTA